CAGTTAGTCTAAATTCGACATTTCTGACTGGATTTACAGTGCATTCGGAAAGTAATCAGACCCCTTAACTTTTTCGACATTTTGTTATGTTACAGCCTTATTCTAAAATTGATTAAATACATGTTTTTCCTCATCAATCTACACACAGTACCCCATAATGACAAAGCTAAAAAAAAGGTTTTTAGAAAGTTTTGCAAATGTAATAAAAAAAAATATATACACTACCAGTCAAAAGTTTGCACGCTCTTGGCATTCTCTCAACCAGCTTCATGAGGTAGTCACCTGGAATGCATTTCAATTCTTAAAAGTTAATTTGTGGAATTTATTTCCTTCTTAATGCGTTTGAGCCAATCAGTTGTGTTTTGACAAGGTATACAGAAGATAGCCCTATTTGGTAAAAGACCAAGTCCATATTATGGCAAGAACAGCTCAAATAAGCAAAGAGAAATGACAGTCCATCATTACTTTAAGACATGAAGGTCAGTCAATATGGAACATTTCAAGAACTTTGAACGTTTCTTCAAGTGCAGTCGCAAAAACCATCAAGCGCTATGAAGAAACTGGCTCTCATAAGGACCGCCACAGGAATGGAAGACCCAGAGTTACCTCTGCTGCAGAGGATAAGTTCATTAGAGTTACCAGCCTCAGAAATTGCAGCCCAAATAAATGCTTCACAGAGTTCAAGTAACACATCTCAACATCAACTGTTCAGAGGAGACTGTGTGAATCAGGCCTACATCTGTCCTTTGGTCTGATGTGTCCAAATTAGAAATGTTTGGTTCCAACTGCTATGTCTTTGTGAGACGCAGAGTAGGTGAATGGATGATCTCTGCATGTGTTGTTCCCACTGTGAAGCATGGAGGAGGAGGTGTGATGGTGTGGGGATGCTTTGCTGGTGACACTGTCTGTGATTTATTTACAATTCAATGCACACTTAACCAGCATGGCTACCACAGCATTCTGCAGTGATACGCCATCGCATCTGGTTCGAGCTCAGGTGCATCTTGTTTCCATTCTGGAATAAATGAAAAACGTATTCAAAATTGAATCCCCTCTACATTACTACAGAGATTACCTCTTCAGACATCAACACTTGCTATTCACGGGTTGCACGTTTCGTCACAATAGATGTTATTTTGAAGACTATTTGCCTACTTGTTATCGTATTTCCAGGCCACTATAGCTAGCTAGTGTAATTTAGATTAAACAGTCATTAGCCCCACTCGAGTTTCAGGCACCACTATGGCTTAGGCTAAATATAATGCTGAAGCTAGCTAGCTAAATAGATTGCATGTGCCGAAATTGACCTATGAAGATATGATTTGTAAACATAATTACACCACAGACTCTGCATAGGGAATTCACTTAGTAAAGTAGGCTAGCTAGGTTGGTTAGCTAGCTAGCTCGGCTGACTTTCTACAACGTGTCAAAAATATGTAGCCTAAAACTTTGCTGGAACGATTAACGTTAGATGACTAGCTAGATAGCTATAAGGTCCGCTGCGCCACTCAGGCTCCCGAGCATCTCTGCATCTCAGTGCTTGAGGCGTCACTACAAACCCCCTGGTTCAATTCCAGGCTGTATCACAACCGGCCGTGATTGGGAGTTCCATAGGGCGGCGCACAATTGGCCCAGCGTCGTCCGGGTTTGGCCGGTGTAGGCCGTATTTGTAAATAACAATTTGTTCTTAACTGACTTGCCTAGTTAGATAAAGGTTAAATAAATAAAAAAATAAAAAAAAGGTATGATTTATAGAGGAATAGCTAGTAAATGTTGCTAAGCTAACATTAGTTTTGAGGTTTGGCTTACCAGGTTTGAGTGCACTAACGTTACAGTCAATCAGTTCCTGACCGAAGTAGCTATCCACTCCATCCGATCACCATGGTCTTTCCACAACCTTCATCCAACTCCCTTTTGGATGACCAAACATATTTTTTAGCAGATAATTGCTGTCTGTCTGCTGTTGACAGCATAATCCTTGGTGAAAAGTTTTTTCGTCCGCTCCGTAGCTAATGTCGTCCATGATTGTTGTGGCCGTGACTTTCTGGGTCTGAGGTCCTGCGAGAAGCAGAGTGGCCATGGCTCTTACGTGAGAGCACGCATGCCACATTTTCCCGGCAAATCGTACAAGACCATCTGGGTCAGGTGGGCATAATTTGAAAGCTTGTCCTATTGCTAATGTGACTAGCTAAATTATAAAATAGGATCTTACATTTTTAGGCTTTCACAAGGCAATTCAGAGAAGCAGATCGTAATTTTGGTGTGCATAGAATGGCGTCATGAGTGCATTCAGATGTGTTGTCCGCGGCACATTTTCTTCACATTACAACAAATATAAGCTTATTCTGTTCAGGACAACCCAGGGTATAACGCCATGTCATCTTGTAACTGTACATCAAACATAGTGATCATAAACATTGGCACTGTATATTACATGGGTTTTATGATATGGAAATGTGAAGTGCACATTTGGACTCACAGGTGTTTGGCTTGCTTGTATGACATCAAAGCAGTATTTATTATAATCCTCAACGTCTCATTTTACGTAATGTGCAGCATTTCCCTCACTCAGACAACCAAAAATGTGCAAAACTAGCCCAATTAACGGGAGGGATGGGGGCAACTTCTTGTCGCACGTGGTGCTCAAGTTCAGAACGGCTGTCAGTCAAAACCCATACAGAGCTGTGATGTGGAGAACCTGAGTTCTGACATCATGTATAGCATGTTCCTGTATAGCCACTGTGTTCCAATTTAGGCGCTTATCAGTGTCCAAATCTGCCATTTCAACCAGTGTACGGGTATGAGTGTAAAAGGCTACTTACTAATCAACCTACAGATCTTGCTGCAACAAGTTTAGTCCATTCACACTTTTCTGCTGATGTAATGTCACTTCATCGGTGGTTAGGCTATTAGCTGGCCAACATTAGGCTACATGAAGTGCAGTACTGTTAATATAGCTGTGTGTAAGTGCGGGTTTTCACTGAATTTCTGTTAATCATGTGGCGCAGGAAAATTCTCAGCAACAACAGAGTGATCAAATTAAGATCTGACATCTGTACCTTCCTTTCATCTCTAAGAAAGAATATGAAATGCTGTAGACTACAGTGCCTTCAGAAAGTATTCATACCGCTTGACTTATTCCAGATTTTGTGTTACAGCCTGAATTCAAAATTGATGAATACAAATGTTTATCTCACCCATCTACACGCAATACTCCATAATGACAAAGTGAAAACATGATTTTAGAAATGTTTGCAAATTTATTGAAAATGAAATACAAATATCTCATTTACATAAGTATTCACACACCTGAGTCAATACATGTTAGAATCACCTTCGTCAGCGATTACAGCTGTGAGTCTTTGTGGGTAAGTCTCTAATAGCTTTGCACACCTGGATTGTACAATATTTGCACGTTATTCTTTTTTAAATTCTTCAAGGTCTGTCAAGTTCGTTGTTGATCATTGCTAGACAGCCATTTTCAAGTCTTTCCATAGATTTTCAAGCTGATTTAAGTCAAAACTGTAACTAGGTCACTCAGGAACATTCAATGTTGTTTTGGTAACAACTCCAATGTATATTTGGCCATGTTTTTTAGGTTATTGTCCTGCTGAAAGGTGAATTTGTCTCCCAGTGTCTGGTGTAAAGCAGACTGAAGCAGGTTTTCCTAGAGGATTCTGCCTGTGCTTAGCTCTATTACATTTATTTTATATAAAAAAAACTCCCTTGCCGATGACAAATATACCCATAACATGATACAGCCACCACCATGCTTGAAAATATGAAGAGTGGTACTCAGTGATGTGTTGTGTTGGATTTGCCCCAGACATAACGCTTTGTATTCAGGACATAAAGTTAATTTCTTAGCCACATTTCTTTGCAGTTTTACTTTAGTGCCTTATTTGCAAACAGGTTTTGGAATATTTGTATTCTGTGCATGCTTCCTTCTTTTCACTCTGTCAATTAGGTTAGTATTGTGGAGTAACTACAATGTTGTTGATCCATCCTCAGTTTTCTCCTATCACAGCCATTCAACTCTGTAACTGTTTTAAAGGCACCATTGGCCTCATGGTGAAATCCCTGAGCGGTTCTCTTCCTCTCCGGCAACAGAGTTAGGAAGGACCCCTGTATCTTTGTAGTGACTGGGTGTATTGATACACCATCCAAAGTGTAATTAATAACTTCAACATGCTCAAAGGGATATTCAATGTCGACTGAGGGACCTTACAGATAATTGTATGTGTTGGGTACAGAGACGAGGTAGTCATTCAAAATCATTTTAAACACTATTATTGCACACAGAATGAGTCCTTGCAACTTATTATATGACTTGTTAAGCACATTTTCACTCCTGAACTTATTTACATTTACATTTTACATTTTAGTCATTTAGCAGACGCTCTTATCCAGAGCGACTTACAGTTAGTGAGTGCATACATTATTTAATTTTTCATACCCCCCGTGGGAATCGAACCCACAACCCTGGCGTTGCAAACGCCATGCTCTACCAACTGAGCTACATCCCTGCCGGCCATTCCCTCCCCTACCCTACCCTAGACGACGCTGGGCCAATTGTGCGCCGCCCCATGGGTCTCCCGGTCGCGGCCGGCTACGACAGAGCCTGGATTTAGGCTTGCCATAACAAAGGGGTTGAATTCTTATTGACTCAAGACATTTCCGTTAATTTGTAAAGATAAAAAATAAAACAAATTCCACTTTGACATTATGGGGTACTATGTGTAGGCCAGTGAAATAAAATGTCAGTTTAATCCATTTTAAATTCAGGCTATAACACATCAAAATGTGGAAAAAGTCAAGGGGTATGAATACTTTCTGAAGGCGCTGTACATATCCTAGTTGCACATGCTATATACAGTATCAGTTTCAATACTTTTTTTTTCATTTCATGAGGAGAATGCTAATGCTTTAAGTTGTAACAGTGAACTGTGAAGACAGATTGGGATGTGTAATTTTCTCTCGACTCACTCTCCTCTCCAGGCACGACCAGACTGCCCCGTGATGGGGAGATCTTGGGGGTGGACTACAACTTTGTCTCCATAGAAGAGTTCTTCTCTTTGGAGGAGTCAGGGGCTCTTCTGGAGAGCGGCAAGTTCAAAGGTGAGGAGAGGAGAGGCATTTATTCACTAAGTCATCTCTCTCTGACCTCAACTGCATTTCAATTCATAGACATTCTTTCATGATTAATGCACTGTAGGTAGTATACTGTATATTGCAGATAGAGGATGCTAGTCTACCTATAGAGGTAGAGAGCAAACCCACAAACCAATCCACACAGTCTCTTACCAGGCAGGCACATAGCTGGTGAATATTATTCATATAATGGGATCTATGAACATTTACTCAGAGGAACCCTAATTATTTCCATGCAGTTAATGACACCAAGTATTGAACAGGTCTCAGTCTCTCCACCCTGCACAACCCACCCCAGTCAGGGGAGGGTTAAAGTTGGACCGCTTCCTCTGATTAAAAAGGCAACTCCGCATTAGCATACATAATTCATATGAGTTTAAAGGGCACAATAAATGCCATCTTCACTTTGCTTCACATGTAACATTGACGACTGTACGGCTCCTGCAAAGCAATCAGGAGAATCAGCGAGTCTGCAGTACAGTTACACTATGGTGGGATAACCTTGACGAGTACAACAGTACCCTAACGTTTCTCCTTACCCTGATCTGACTGTATGAGCAGTAGGAATAGATTTAAGAAATGTGATTTGTACTCTAGCTGCCACAACAGAAGGATAGAATTAAAGAAGGAGAAAATAGAGTATATTTTACTGATCCCAAGGTTGGATGGTAATCTATGTGATGAATGCATTGCACTGGAACACTTCCATCATAATATTTAGGATTTACTGTATTTTCTATATTTCGTATAATGATAGCCATTACAGCTGTGTGTCTTTACCTCTTATCTTTTTTATCCTTTTCACAATCATATTTGTTTTATTTATTTATGTATTTTTATTCTTGTCACCGAAAGCCAAAAGTACCAATATGCTTCTAACAATAAAAATATATCTTATTCCCTCACTTTCTACGTCACTCCCTCTGTTCTCTCTCAGGGAACTACTACGGCACCCCCCGGCCAGTACACATCGGTCCAGAGAGCCCTCCCATCACCTACCAGGAACACCGCAACCTGCTCCGGAACTTCCGAACACGCAGCAAGTCACTTAGTAACCTGGAGAAAGCAGCCGAGGAGGGGGAGAACAGCGAGGAAGACTCTGGCCTGTCAGGCAGGTTTACCAAAGACAGACTGCCCCGTTAGACTATATGGGTGACCAATCTACCACAGTCATATAGTGGTAGTAAATAGTAGTATTAGTAGTAGTAGTAGTAGTAGTAGTATTAATAGTAGTAGTAGTTATACTAAAAGTATAGTAAGTAGTAGTAATAACAGTAGTGGTAGTAAATAATGTGTAATTCAAAACCTTTTTGTGATTTTAAGTTGACAAAATGTGTGATTTGTTTTCCGCCATTTTGTTTAGCTAAGTATGGTGGCCAACAGCTACTTTAAACTGTAAAGACTGCCTTGTCCCTCTGTACCTCAGAGTTTTTGATGGCCAAATTAATGATTAGCATGATTAGTATGCTCCTAGCTCTTTGTGGGGCTGTGGCCGCATCGATCGCTGGACCTGCTCCAGAGGAGGGTCTAGCTGACCACGGGCAGGCTAGGCTGTGTGGCAGGCAGGGAGCAGGCAGAGAGCAGGAAGCTGTCCATGATCCTGACCTGTGCTGCTGAGTCATCTGTCGCCTGGTTGGGTGGTGCTAAACAGAGCGCTTGCTGGGCTGGCTCTGACTGCAGCTCTGGGTGTGCAGCAGGCCACATCCTCCCACGCCTAGTACATTCTAAAGGACAGGAGGGTCGGGCAAAAGCTGTTTACATATAGTTTAAAGTTGTATTAGTCGTATGTACGGGATACGCATGGTATACATCTTCCAACTAAATGCTTACATGCAGTTTCCTTCTATGCAATGCAACAACAATAAGAAATAGTAAAAAATAAGAATACTAACATCAAGTAAATGGCAGCAGAATAGAATAAACATTTTAGCATAATAATAATACTGGAAGGCACAATTTATAGTACAATATTTACACGTGTATTGGGGAAGGGTGGGATGGGGGGAAAGTGTATAAATCGAGCAGTATAACATGATTTTGGTAGCAGCAGTTGTGATGTGTGTGTAGCATGAATGTATATGTGGATGTGTGTATGAGTGAGTGCATGTGTTGTAATGTGCAGAGAATCAGAGCAGGTGGTCAGTCCAGTTCAAGTGTTCAGCAATGTGATGGCTTGTAGATCGAAACTGTCTCTGAGCCAGTTGGTATCAGACCTCATGCTCCAATATCGTCTGCCCGACGGTAGGGAAGAGAACTGCTCGTGTCGGGTCCTTGATGATGCTGTGTGCCTTCCTCAGTCACCGTTTTGAGTAGATGTCCTGGATGGGTGGGAGCACGGTCCCAGTGATGTACTTGACCGTCTTCACCACCCGGTGGAGGGCCTTGCGGTTGTGGACGGAGCAATTCCCGTATCAGCCCGTGATGCAACCGGTCAGAACGCTCTCGATGGTGCAGCAGTAGTATTTGGAGAGGACCCGGGGCGGCATGCCGAATTTCTTCAGTGATGTGTATACCGAGGAACTTCGAACTCGTGACTCTCTCTACTACAGTCCCATTGATGTGGATTGGGGCATTTTCCCTCCTATGCTTTCTGAAGTCAACAGTCAACTCCTTTGTTTTGCTGACGTTGAGGGAGAGGTTGTTGTCATGTCACCACAATACCAGTTCACTTACCTCCTCACTACAGGCTGACTCGTCATTGTTGGTTATCAGGCCTACAACCGTGGTGTCATCAGCAAAGTTGATGATGGAGTTGGTGTCGTGCAAAGCCACGCAGTCATGGGTGAACAGGGAGTACAGCAGAGGACTGAGGACACACCCCTGTGGGGCCCCTGTTTTAAGAACCAGTCTGGAGGAGGTGTCGTTGCCAATCCTCACAGCCTGTGGTCTGCCCGTCAGGAAGTCCAGGATCCAGTTGCAGAGGGTGGTGACCAGACCCAGGGCTCTGAGCTTGGTTTTGAGCTTCGAGGGAACAATAGTGTTGAATGCTGAACTGTAATCAATGAACAGCATTCTCACATATACCATGCGTTGTACTGTAATGTATGGAATGCATGCCTTGCTTTTTTGCGATTTTTGCGAAACACTGGGTATGGATTTGTAAATGTGGATTTAAAACTAAATTCAGTGTAGCCTATTTCCATGATTTCAGAGAGTAAGTTATTCAATGGTTCTATTTTCACTGAGTGTAGGCTATCTGAGAACTTCTAGAGTAATTTTGCCTGTCCTCTTTATTGACGTTCCAGGTGGATTAGCGGGTATCAGCAATGCCCATCCCGTCGCCTTGTCCAGAGGGTCCAGTGGGGGGGATGGCAGTGCCATGGAGAACGGCCATGGCAGCACCAGTGCCAGTGTGCGAGCAGTGATGCCTAAAAACTGGGAGGTGGCCTACAGCGACTCAGGAGAGCCTTTCTACATAGAGTGAGTGACTATTCTATTCTATTCCAAATGGATAGACCACTCTTTTGTATGTTTTTTTGTTTTGTTTGACTGGTCCAGGATCAGTTTCCTCTATATCTTGAATGTGTTGACTTGGAAATACTGTTATATAGCATTACCATGGTGATTGATTGGTGACTTTGAGGTGGCCTGTCTGTCACTCTCTTTCAGCCATAACTCCAAGATAACCAGCTGGCAGGATCCTTGTGCACAGAGCAGCAGAGAGACAACGCTTGACAAGAATACATGTGAGCTCTCTCCCATGGAAACATTGCTGGAGCGTTTAACCCAGGGTTTCCCAAACTCGGTCCTCGGGACCCCAAGGTGTGCACGTTTTTGTTTTTTGCACTAGCACTACACAACTGATTCAAATAATCAACTAATCATCAAGCGCTGATCATTTGAATCAGCTGTGTAGTGTTAGGGCAAAAACCAACACGTGCACCTCTTGGGGTCCCGAGGACTGAGTTTGAGAAACGCTGGTTTAACCGTTGCACTGCCTTATGATGCTGTCTGTACATTAATTAGACTAGGACCATAGGCACAGTGAGGCTGTTAATAGAGTCGAATTAAATGAAATGAGCTTTTAGTAGAATTTAGATAGTGTGTAGTGATTAAGCCCTAACCCCACAGCAAGCCAGAACCTGGAACCAATGGCAGGGAGCCATTTTGCTAGCTGCTATGTCTGACAGAGGCCATGTGTTGGGCATGACACTGACAACCTACTATCATAATTATATTATGTTATTCACAGATAACACAATAATGCATAAACGTTTGACTATTATAGCTGATTATAGCAGTGAGAGATCCAATCTGCCATAATACCATGGGTAAACTGGTCTGAATCTATTGAGTGAGTTGCAGTTTAGTGTTTTAACCAGCAGGAGGCGAAACAGATCAGCCAGAGAGTTTGTATCCTTTCAAGGTGCTTGAATCTTCTCTGTGGGACATTATGATAGGGCGGAAAAAACACTTTCCCTGCATGTCTATTTATTTCTAAACGTTTTGCACTAAGTGCCATCTGGCCATGAGTTTTCAGTGTTGTGCATCTCTCAACTCAGCTCTAAAGGGCACATTCTAAGCAGTTCACACATTCACACACACAGGGTGCAACCGCTCTCTGTCTCTCTCTCTCTGTTGTGCTCTAAACCACTTCATAGTGTCCTTTATTTCCTCTTTACCTTCCAATTGCACAAAACCTCTCTGTCTTTCCACCTCTCTGTTGTAAGCCTCTCTCTCTGTGTTTCTTTGCCCTTCTCACTCTTTTCTCTATCGTTTCCCCCTCTCTTTCCATCCCTCCATTGCTCTTTCTCAGTACCAGGGTTCACAGACCAGCCAGGGGAGCTGAGGGGTTTCTCTATCCACACACGCTTCTCTAAAGGTCCCAGGGGGTTTGGTTTCAACATTGTGGGGGGCAGCAGAGCCAGGGAGTTCCTCCAGGTCTACAGCGTCACGCCAGGGGGACCTGGAGCTCTCAACACAGGTAGGAGAGGAGGCAGAAGGGAGGCGAGGGACAGGACAATATACAGAGATGAATGTCATTTATGCAAAGCTGTAGAGTTCTGAATGTATTGAGAATGTGATTTGAAACAGCAAAAATGCATTAAAATACTTTTCTAGGGATATGTTAGATTCGGCTTCCCTATGTTGATATCATGTTCCTCGTAAATGCCCTCCCAGGCCCACTCAAGACTGCACCCTTGCCCAGTCATGTGAAATCCATAGATTAGGGCCTAATACATTTATTTCAATTGACAGATTTCCTTATATGAACTGTGACTCAGTAAAATCTTATAAATTGTTTTGACCAGTATACTGTATATATACATTTCTCTCTCCCTCCCTCTCTCCCTCAATCTCTTTCTCTCATTCTCTCTCTCCTCATTGGAGATGGATTATAGTAGTGGGATTTATCTGTGATCTCTCACAGAGAGTATATCTTAATCGATCCCTAATCCTAATGGCGTGCATGCCATAATCTAGCTCTATCATCACATGCAGCAACAAATGTACATACAGTACCAGTCCAAAGTATGGACACACCTACTCATTCCACGGTTTTTCTTTATTTTTACTATTTTCTACATTGTAAAATAATAGTGAAGGCATCAAAACTATGAAATAACACCTATGGAATCATGTAGTAACCAAAAAAGTGTTAAACAAATCAAAATATATTTTAGATTTTAGATTCTTCAAAGTAGCCACCCTTTGCCTTGACAGCATTGCACACTCTTGGCATTCTCTCAACCAGCTTCATGAGGTAGTCGCCTGGAATGCATTTCAATTAACAGGTGTGCCTTGTTAAAAGTTAATTTGTGGAATTTCTTTCCTTCTTAATGCGTTTGAGCCAATCAGTTGTGTTGTGACAAGGTAGGGGTGGTATACAGAAGATAGCCCTATTTGGTAAAAGACCAAGTCCATATTATGGCAAGAACAGCTCAAATAAGCAAAGAGAAACGACAGTCCATCATTACTTTAAGACATGAGGGTCAGTAAATCCGGAACATTTCAAGAACTTTGAAAGTTTCTTCAAAAACCATCAAGCGTGATGAAACTGGATCTCATGAGAACCGCCACAGGAAAGGAAGACCCAGAGTTACCTGCAGAGGATACATTCATTAGAGTTACCAGCCTCAGAAATTGCAGCCCAAATAAATGCTTCGCAAAGTTCAAGTAACAGACATCTCAACATTTAAATTTTACATTTTAGCAGACGCTCTTATCCAGAGCGACTTACAGTTAGTGAGTGCATACATTCTTTTTTTATTTTTCATACTGGGAATCGAACCCACAACCCTGGCGTTGCAAACGCCATGTTCTACCAACTGAGCTACATCCCTGCCGGCCATTCCCTCCCCTACCCTGGACGACACCGGGCCAATTGTGCGCCGCCCCATGGGACTCCCGGTCACGGCCGGTTTCGAACCAGGATCTCTAGTGGCACAGCTAGCACTGCGATGCAGCGCCTTAGACCACTGCGCCACTCGGGAGGTTACTGTTCAGAGTAGACTGCGTGAATTAGGCCTTCATGGTCGAATTGCTGCAAAGAAACCACTACTAAAGGACACCAATAAAAAGAAGAGACTTGCTTGTGCCAAAAAACACGAGCAATGGACATTAGACCGGTGGAAATCTGTCCTTTGGTCTGATGTGTCCAAATTAGAAATGTTTGGTTCCAACTGCCATGTCTTTGTGAGACGCAGAGTAGGTGAACGGATGATCTCTGCATGTGTTGTTCCCACTGTGAAGCATGGAGGAGGAGGTGTGATGGTGTGGGGATGCTTTGCTGGTGACACTGTCGGACCTTGTGAAGATGCTGGAGGAAACAGGTACAAAAGTATCTATATCCACAGTAAAACGAGTCCTATATCGACATAACCTGAAAGGCCGCTCAGCAAGGAAGTAGCCACTGCTCCAAAACCGCCATAAAAAAGCCAGACTACGGTTTTCAACTGCACATGGGGACAAAGATCGTACCTTTTGGAGAAATGTCCTCTGGTCTGATGAAACAAAAATTGAACTGTTTGGCCATAATGACCATTGTTATGTTTGGAGGAAAAAGGGGGTAGCTTGCAAGCTGAAGAACACCAACCCAACCCTGAAGCACGGGGGTGGCAGCATCATGCTGTGGGGGTGCTTTGCTGCAGGAGGGACTGGTGCACTTCACAAAATAGATTGCATCATGAGGAAGGAAAATTACAGTGGGGGAAAAAAAGTATTTAGTCAGCCACCAATTGTGCAAGTTCTCCCACTTAAAAATATGAGAGAGGCCTGTAATTTTCATCATAGGTACACGTCAACTATGACCGACAAATTGAGATTTTTTTTCTCCAGAAAATCACATTATAGGATTTTTTATGAATTTATTTGCAAATTATGGTGGAAAATAAGTATTTGGTCACCTACAAACAAGCAAGATTACTGGCTCTCACAGACCTGTAACTTCTTCTTTAAGAGGCTCCTCTGTCCTCCACTCGTTACCTGTATTAATGGCACCTGTTTGAACTTGTTATCAGTATAAAATACACCTGTCCACAACCTCAAACAGTCACACTCCAAACTCCACTATGGCCAAGACCAAAGAGCTGTCAAAGGACACCAGAAACAAAATTGTAGACCTGCACCAGGCTGGGAAGACTGAATCTGCAATAGGTAAGCAGCTTGGTTTGAAGAAATCAACTGTGGGAGCAATTATTAGGAAATGGAAGACATACAAGACCACTGATAATCTCCATCGATCTGGGGCTCCACGCAAGATCTCACCCCGTGGGGTCAAAATGATCACAAGAACGGTGAGCAAAAATCCCAGAACCACACGGGGGGACCTAGTGAATGACCTGCAGAGAGCTGGGACCAAAGTAACAAAGCCTACCATCAGTAACACACTACGCCGCCAGGGACTCAAATCCTGCAGTGCCAGACGTGTCCCCCTGCTTAAGCCAGTACATGTCCAGGCCCGTCTGAAGTTTGCTAGAGTGCATTTGGATGATCCAGAAGAGGATTGGGAGAATGTCATATGGTCAGATGAAACCAAAATAGAACTTTTTGGTAAAAACTCAGCTCGTCGTGTTTGGAGGACAAAGAATGCTGAGTTGCATCCAAAGAACACCATACCTACTGTGAAGCATGGGGGTGGAAACATCATGCTTTGGGGCTGTTTTTCTGCAAAGGGACCAGGACGACTGATCCGTGTAAAGGAAAGAATGAATGGGGCCATGTATCGTGAGATTTTGAGTGAAAACCTCCTTCCATCAGCAAGGGCATTGAAGATGAAACGTGGCTGGGTCTTTCAGCATGACAATGATCCCAAACACACCGCCCGGGCAACGAAGGAGTGGCTTCGTAAGAAGCATTTCAAGGTCCTGGAGTGGCCTAGCCAGTCTCCAGATCTCAACCCCATAGAAAATCTTTGGAGGGAGTTGAAAGTCTGTGTTGCCCAGCGACAGCCCCAAAACATCATTGCTCTAGAGGAGATCTGCATGGAGGAATGGGCCAAAATACCAGCTACAGTGTGTGAAAACCTTGTGAAGACTTACAGAAAACGTTTGACCTGTGTCATTGCCAACAAAGGGTATATAACAAAGTATTGAGAAACTTTTGTTAATGACCAAATACTTATTTTCCACCATAATTTGCAAATAAATTCATTTAAAAATCCTACAATGTGATTTTCTGGAATTTCTTTTCTCATTTTGTCTGTTATAGTTGACGTGTACCTATGATGAAAATTACAGGCTTTTCTCATCTTTTTAAGTGGGAGAACTTGCACAATTGGTGGCTGACTAAATACTTTTTTCCCCCACTGTATGTGGATATATTGAAGCAACATCTCAAGACATCAGTCAGGAAGTTAAAGCTTGGTCGGAAATGGGTCTTCCAAATGGACAATGACCCCAAGCATACTTCCAAAGTTGTGGCAAAATGGCTTAAGGACAACCAAGTCAAGGTATTGGAGTGGCCATCACAAAGCCCTGACCTCAATCCTATAGAAAATGTGTGGGCAGAACTGAAAAAGTGTGTGCGAGCAAGGAGGCCTACAAACCTGACTCAGTTACACCAGCTCTGTCAGGAGGAATGGGCGAAAATTCACCCGACTTATTGTGTGAAGCTTGTGGAAGGCTACCCAAAACGTTTGACCCAAGTTAAACAATTTAAAGGCAATGCTACCAAATACTAATTGAGTGTATGTAAACTTCTGACCCACTGAGAATATGATGAAAGAAATAAAAGCTTAAATAAATAATTCTCTCTACTATTATTCTGACATTTCACATTCTTAAAATAAAGTGGTGATCCTAACTGACCTAAGACAGGGAATTTTTACTAGGATTAAATGTCAGGAATTGTGAATGAGTTTAAATGTATTTGGCTAAGGTGTATGTAAACTTCCGACTTCAACTGTAGGTGTGTCCAAACTTTTGACTGGTACTGTATGTACGTGTTTTTACTAATGACCTTCCACTGACCTTGATTAAAGCCTGTGTGTCTATGTACGCTGACGACTCAACAGTATACACGTCAACTACGACAGTAAAAGAAATAACCGACACCCTTAACTTAGAGCTCCAGTCAGTTTTAGAATGGGTAACTAGCAATAGGCTGGTGCTAAATATCTCAAGAACTAAAAGCATCGTTTTTGGGACAAATCACTCGCTCAAGCTAAACCTCATTTAGATCTATTATTGAATAATGTGCCGATTGAGAAGGTTGAGGAGACTAAACTGCTGGGTATAACCCGAGATAGCATGCTATCATGGTCAAAACATATAGACTCAATGGTTGCTATAATGGGAAGAGATCTGTCCATGATAAGGCGTTGCTCTGCCTTCTTGACATCTCAGTCGACCAGACAGGTTCTACAGGCCCTAGTTTTGTAGCGCCTGGACTACTGCCCAGTTGTGTGGTCATGTGTGGCAAAGAGGGACAGAGGTAAATTACAGTTGGTCCAGAACAAAGCAGCACGTATTGTACTTAGATGTACACAGAGGGTGAATGTCAGTAACATGCATGTCAATCTTTCCTGACTCAAAGTTGAGGAGAGATTTGACTGTATCACTATTGGTCTTTGTGCAAGGTGTTGATGTGTTGAAGGTGCCGATCTGTCTGTTCAAGCAGTTGGCACAGAGTTCAGACACTCATCGGTACAACACAAGACATGCAATCAGAGGTCTCTTCACAGTCCCCAGGTCCAGAACACAGGCTGGGAAACGCACAGTATTAAATAGAGACAAGGAACTCTCTGCCACCCCAGGTAACTCAAGCTATCAATAAAACCAGATAAAAAAACCAGATAAAAGAACACCTTACGGCACAACGGGGACTGTGAAGAGACACAGCCATTTTTATATATTTTGTATTGTAATTTGCACTGTATTATGTAGGTAAGTGGCCTTGCACGAGCCTTGGCTCATAGGGCAGGAACCATCTCCTTTTTCTGAAGCGTGAGGCAGAGGCAGGAGATTATGTAGTATTATGTAGTGTTAAGTAGTATTATGTAGTATTATGTAGTGTTATGTTTATTATGTATATTATATTATGTATATTATGTATTTTCTTTTTCTTTTTGTGTCCTGTTTGGACCCCAAGAGCAAGGCAGTGGCTAATCGGGGATCCCAATAAAATACTAAATACTACTACACACACCCAAACACACATGTATACAAAGATAGTATACCATTTATGACCTACAGTACATCGTTGTGTCCCTTCAAATTATTTGCAAAGTACAGTAAAGAGTGTAGGTTTGAAATGTATACTAATGCAATGGGATAACTTCACCAGACCTCCCTCTCAACCTCTCCTCTCTGTCCATACAGCAGATATCCTGGTTTACATCAACGGCGTCTGTGTCCTGGGAACGTCCCACAAAGAAGTGGTAGAGATGCTGAAGGCAGTGCCTGTGGGCCACAGTGTGGACATGGTCCTCCGGAGGGGATACCCCATGCTCTACAACCCCGACGGCTGCCCCAAGCAGCCCCATCCTGGGTTCACCAACGTCTGTGACCCCCTCCTCCCACCCACCACCACCCAGCCCCAGCCCTCACACCAGTGCCTCCCCCTCCTCCGCCCATCCACAGCCCCAACCCAGACCCAGTATCATAATCTCAATGGGGTCCTTTCTCACCACTATGACGTGGGTTATATGGGTCCAGGAGTGGGGCCAAGACTAGATGCCAATGGGAATGCCACCTCCACAGCTACCCGATCACCAACCTCTTATAGACACTCCAGCGGTCATCTTGCTCACTCCACGGCCTCTACTCCACCATCGTACAGACTGTCTAGTGGGCACCTTGCTCACTCCGCTGACCCACCCTCATACAGACGATCCAGTCGCTACCTATCTGACTCCACCTCCCCTACGCAACCCTCATACAGACAATCCAGTGGAAGCATCACTCCCACCACCCCCCGCTCACTGAGGGGCCTCGCCCGCCTGCAGGCCTCTGACAACTGCCAGAGTGACAGCGAGGTGGTCTCAGCCATCGGCTCACACAGGTAGGGTGGAACACCCAGACACACACACACAAACAATGTAATTTAGAGGTAATTTACTCTCATGGAGAACCCTGACTATCTATCTTTCTCTTTTCATTCTCTGCAGGGCACTCATGATTCGTAACCACAACAATAACTCCCTCTCTACCCCCCCTCAGCCCTTGCACTACAGAACCTCTAAGAGTGACCTGTCTGAGAGCAACCTGTCCACCTCCTCCACCCTCCCTGTGTCCAGACTGCCCATGCCCCAGTCAGAGACACACCCTCTCTCGTCCTCCCCTGGCGGAGGGGCGTACTCCCGCCTCATCAGGCCCCAGGCCTCCCTGCTGAGACCCCCTCCCACCTCTGACAGCCCCCACCTCAGCTTCAATGGCTTCCATGGCAATACCAGCGGCAGCGGCAGCCCCAACAGCATCTCGTCTCCCGGGGCGATGAGCCTGGGCAGTGGGTTTGGGGTGGGAGGTGGGGTTGGAGGTGGAGGGGAGCTTGTGCCAGTGGCCCTGGCCCAGTGTGAGGGTGGAGGGGGGATGGGTTTCAGTGTGACGGCCGGGGGACAGGGGGGCAGACTGGCTCTTGTCAAGAGGGTCTGGGACAGGAGGCAGTGCTCCTCCCTACAGCCAGGGGACGCCATCATGAAAATCAACGGAGCAGACGTCCAGAGTCTCAGCTTTGCACAGGTACTGAGGAGGGAAAAGAGCAGAGAAAGAAGATAAGGAAAGAGATGGAGAATAAGTATAGGGAAATTTAGATCAGAGATAATAAAGTGATACTTTTCCATCCAGGTACAACGGGTTCTCCTCGAACACACCAAACAAGGACAAGTGATTTTATTGGTTCACAGAAGAGGTAAGAACATGAGCTAGTTTCCTGCAAACTTGTCCTCAAGAGTTTTTATTTATTTATAATATCTATTCTCAGCCCAAGTGATGAATAGAGACTCAAAACATTTCTCAAGAATTTCTTTGTCTTTAGTGATGTTATTTATCTTCTTCAGGTTCCCACTGTTCTTCCATCTCCCCCAACTCTATGCGGAGAGTCCCCTCACCACTCCTCCGCCCCCCTCCTCCAGACGTGGCGTCAGACAACAATCCTTCGCCCCCTGCGGACGTCCTGATCCTACCCCGTCCCTCCTCCACCCCTCCTCCTCCTCCCCCAGCCATGGTGCGCTCCTCTCTGGTCCAGAGCACCAGTTTCCTGGAGTCAGTCCCAGTCACCCTCACCATGGAGCCCAAAGACTGGCTGAACGAGGGCATGGAGGATGAGCGGGAAAGGGAGGTGGTGATCCCAGGACCAGGACAGGAGGTAGGGGGACAGAACCGTGTGCCCCGGGGGTTTGATGTGGAGCTGAGGAGGAAGCCGGGAGAGGGGTTCGGATTTGTCATCGCTTCAGAGGATGTAGAGAACAGGAAAGGTGAGAACTGATTGATTTGTAGCAGAGCACATGTCATTTTACATTGCCATGTTACATCTTCTAATTGATTGGATTGATGACTTTCACTTTTCCCAATTTCCCCTCTCTTCTTGAAAGTTGGATAAGTATTGAATTGGAGTTACTGCAGAATATAGGAAGCATACCTTTTAAGACCAAATCCCTTATCGTGTCCCTTAACAAATGTCATCACCCAGTGAAAAGATGGCCTTCAGCTTGAAGAGTAAAGCTTCCCAATTGGACATAGTGTTCTGTGGGATGATTAATATATTATGATGGCTGCATGACAGTCACTAAGACATGATGATGAGTCAAAGATCTCTGTCACGTAAAGACAGAACTCCCCACCCCCAGTAGTCCCATGATGACATCATCCTGCGCACTGCTCGTTATGTATTTAGTGTTTCAGACAGCACTCCAGGTACTATGGAGTCATAAAACACAGTAACAGTCCAATGACAGCATTTATTGCACTGCGTGTATCATCATTATGCTAAAACTGGGATGTTGTTGTGCTGCTTCCTTCCTTGTGTGCGTGCGTGTGTGTTTGTGTGTGTGCATCCTTGTGTGTATTAAGGTGTTATATTGTTGTTATAGGGTGTAATATTTTGTGGGGTGGTGCCCAAGTGTGTAAGTGCATTTGATGAATATTTGTTAGTGTGTGGGTACTCGCTGCACCTCATGAAAATCAATGGAATCAATAGTGAGATTATCCAACGTGAAGCCCCATGCCACAGGGCTATTAGGGACTAAGCCACAAAGGTTTTATATGTGTCAGTGCTCTTATCTAAATCAGCCTGTCAGCTCCATTTGCCTCCCACAGAATAACCTTCTGATGATAACACGCTGCTTTACACTCATAGTCCTAATCCTGCTATAGCAGGACACAGTATAGTTCACCTCTATCATGTCTAGTTAACAGTAATAATAATAATAATATGCCATTTAGCAGACGCTTTTATCTAAAGCGACTTACAAGTCATGCGTGCATACATTTTTTGTGTATGGGTGGTCCCGGGGATTGAACCCACTACCCTGGCGTTACAAGCGCCGTGCTCTACCAGCTGAGCTACAGAGGACCAGCACAGGGATTCTTGAAAGTCGGGACAATCCTTGTCCGGCAGGGAAACTTTATTCTTATAGTTAACCATTTTTCATTTTGTTGCATTATTTAAGCTTACAAATTACATTTAGGGGAATTTGCTTTTGGAATTTTCTAAATATTTTCAATATTATTCATTTCCATGTCGGCTCTATGTAGTGCAACAAGACCACTCATGGTCTGTAAAGTTTTATACTTTTGATAGATTTAAACAAACAATATTGAAATCACCATGGTCACAAACATAAACTGTCAACTCCATCTCCCTGATAGATTAAGATAGGATATTAATTTTGGTTCAAATATGTTTATTTTAAAAAGGTTTTACAATTGTTACTTTGTATACCACTTGAAGGAAGAAGAAAAATTCCATTTTTGTCAACTCCGTAAAACATAAACTCCGTCATATTTTTGCCTAACGTCAGATTGCTGAAAGCTCTGATAGAATGGTGATGTTTTAATTGGGGATTTTCAAATGAATAATTTCCTATATTTTACAAATGTTTGTGTTGAACTTTGATTTTTAGAGGCAAAAATATGTATGTTTTGAGTATTTGTTGTCAACTCCGTCAGTGGTCAGTCACTGATGGCTAACTCCCTTAAGATAAAATAAATGTTGGTCACTATTCAGAAAAAATATTTTAAGCACTGTTCTGCAACATATGCTTCAACTATTGACGTATTTGATGAGCTAGATCTAAGGGATGTTTGCTTTATAAATGTTGTTCTATGTTCTGAATCTAGAAAAACATGCCAAAATGTTAATGAAATTAGCCCTAGAGCATTATATAGCACTATAAAATAAAACAAAAAGAAGTTTGAAGATTTGTATTGCAAATTTGAATAATCTAATGTGAGAATTAAACAATCAAGGCCTTTAACCCTTTGACACGTACCAATGGAGATTTTAGAATGTAAGTCTTGGTGGGGCAGAAAATGTATAATTGTGGGATGCATGCCAGCAAAGCCACTACACAACACAACACTAAACAATACATTATTTGCACTATAACGGTGACAAACGGTGCACACAAACTGTTAGGGCCTACATAAAGCTGTCCCAACAGCAGAGTCCAAACAGCAGTCCCAACATCTTACCACTGCTACACTTGGCTATCAGTGGAGTCTTGTCTGGCAACAGTTAATTCAGCCTCATTTACTGCCTTTAAAAAAAACATAGCTGATATGGCTGACTTGCTTAAACAAATGTGGTTTCAACTGACAATTGAAATGTACAAACTATGGCATAAAGGGACGACAAGCGGATAAGAGGCAATCCGTAATTTCGATTAAGACATTAATGAGCGAGCTAGGACGGACGTAGTCAATATAACTATTTGTTTAGCACTTTTGAAATGTACAGTGACAGAATTCAGAACATGGGCCGTTCTTAAAGTGTTCTCCCTGTACACCAAGTCAGAACCGTAGGATAAATAAAGGGGGCATATACAGTGCCTTGCAAAAGTATTCATCCCCCTTGGCGTTTTTCCTATTTTGTTGCATTACAACCTGTAATTTAAATGGTTTTTATTTGGATTTCATGTAATGGACATACACAAAATAGTCCAAATTGGTGAAGTGAAATTAAAAAATAACTTGTTTCAAAAAATTCTACAAAATAAATAACGGAAATGTGGTGCATGCATATGTGTTGCTATGAAGCCCCTAAATAAGATCTGGTGCAACCAATTAACTTCAGAAGTCACATAATTAGTTAAATTAGTTAAAGTCCACCTGTGTGCAATCTAAGTGTCACATGATCTGTCACATGATCTCAGTATATATACACCTGTTCTGAAAGGCCCCAGAGTCTGCAACACCACTAAGCAAGGGGCACCACCAAGCAAGTGGCACCGTGAAGACCAAGCAGCTCTCCAAACAGGTCAGGGACAAAGTTGTGGAGAAGTACAGATCAGGGTTGGGTTATAAAAAAAATTACTGAAACTTTGAACATCCCACGGAGCACCATTTTAAATCCAATATTAAAAAAATTGAAAGAATATGGCACCACAACAAACCTGCCAAGAGAGGGCCACCCACCAAAACTCATTGACCAGGCAAGGAGGGCATTAATCAGAGAGGCAACAAAGACACCAAAGATAACCCTGAAGGAGCTGCAAAGCTCCACAGCGGAGATTGGAGTATCTGTCCATAGGACCACTTTAAGCCATACACTCCACAGAGCTGGGCTTTATGGAAGAGTGGCCAGAAAAAAGCCATTGCTTAAAGAAAAAAATAAGTAAACACGTTTGGTCTTCGCCAAAAGGCATGTGGGAGACTCCCCAAACATATGGAAGAGGGTACTCTGGTCAGATGAGACTAAAACTGAGCTTTTTGGCCATCAAGGAAAACGCTATGTCTGGCGCAAACCCAACACCTCTCATCACCCCGAGAACACCATCCCCACAGTGAAGCATGGTGGTGGCAGCATCATGCTGTGGGGATGTTTTTCATCGGCAGGGACTGGGAAACTGGTCAGAATTGAAGGAATGATGGATGGCGCTAAATACAGGGAAATTCTTGAGGGAAACCTGTTTCAGTCTTCCAGAGATTTGAGACTGGGACGGAGGTTCACCTTCCAGCAGGACAATGACATTTACATTTAAATGTTAGTCATTTAGCAGACGCTCTTATCCAGAGCGACTTACAGTTAGTGCGTGCATACATTTTCATACTGGCCCCCCGTGGGAAACAAACCCACAACCCTGGCGTTGCAAGCGCCATGCCCTACCAACTGAGCTACAGGGGACGCTAAGCATACTGCTAAAGCAACACTTGAGTTGTTTAAGGGGAAACATTTAAATGTCTTGGAATGGCCGAGTCAAAGCCCAGACCTCAATCCAATTGAGAATCTGTGGTATGACTTAAACATTGCTGTACACTAGCGGAACCCATCCAACTTGAAGGAGCTGGAGCAGTTTTGCCTTGAAGAATGGACAAAAATACCAGTGGCTAGATGTGCCAAGCTTATGGAGAGACACCCCAAGAGACTTGCAGCTGTAATTGCTGCAAAAGGTGGCTCTACAAAGTATTGACTTTGGGGGGGTGAATAGTTATGCACGCTCAAGTTTTCAATTTTTTTGTAATTGTCACGATCGTCTAAGGAGGAGGACCAATGCGCAGCGTTGAAGGTGAACATATTTATTATATAAATGATCACACGATCAAAACAACAGACGATAACGTGATGTCTACGGTTGAACACAAACCAAATAAGAACAAGAAACCACAATGAATGAGTGCCAAACGGCTACCTAAGTATGACTCCCAATCAGAGACAACGAGCTACAGCCGTCTCTGATTGGGAGCCACCCTGGCCAACATAGAAAAGCAAAACTAGACCCACAACCTACAACACAAAACATAGAAACTAACACCCTGGCTCAACATACGAGAGTCCCCCGAGCCAGGGCGTGACAGTACCCCCCCCTAAAGGCGCGGACTCCGACCGCGCCAACCAAACACAACAGGGGAGGTACCGGGTGGGCACTCCGCCTAGGCGGCGGATCTGGCTCCGGGCATGATCCCCACTCGCTCTCTAACCCCCCAAAGTACCCCTGGTCCGGTCTGGCCCTGCTGACCGGAGCTGGACTGCACACTGGTGGAGCGGATTGCTCTAGCTCCGGCGTGAAGCAGCTGACCCGTGCCGAACCAGGCACCAGTGGACCAGGCACGGGCTGTGCCGGACTGACGACGCACACCACTGGCTTGGTGTGGGGAGCAGGGACGGCCCGAGCCGGGCTGACGAAGCGCACCACTGACTTGGTGCGGGGAGCAGGAACGGGCCGAGCCGGGCTGACGAAGCGCACCACTGACTTGGTGCGGGGAGCAGGAACGGGCCGAGCCGGGCTGACGAAGCGCACCACTGACTTGGTGCGGGGAGCAGGA